ACTGGCAATTCATGCATAAATCTACATAACATAAAAGTGTACGATAATGAAACACTTGCTCAAAAGTATCTTACTTCATCAAATAAAATGAATTTTTGAAAGGATTCCATTATCTTTTCTACTTTCTCGACTGCATCAATAAAATCATGATTGGCTTTTTCAAAATTACTCTCTCTCTACTATCTGCTGTGTAAAATTTCTTGATAGAGAATTATAGGACAATTGCACACCATTTATAACTAAAAAAAAAAGTAGTCGAGTCATAGTACAATTGTGATGAGTGAAAACATGTAGCAAACTTGGATAAAAATTGAATTTTGATAAAACAAATCATATTATGACACATGTATTTTGATTGGTATAAAATATATAATTAATAATTATCTCACCAAAAGTAGATTCACTGACAACTACAAAGATAGAATTTGGATAAGAATTACTTTCAAATAATTGAATTAGAATTAATATAAGACAAAAAAAGAAATGATTAATATCTATCTTAAGGAGAAATTGAATTGGTTTATAAATTATGTACAATTCTATTTATCCTATTTTCTTTCAGTTGGGTATCTCATAATGTGTTCTTATAAAATGAAAATAGCTTTTTTCTCGAGTCGAAAACTTCTAATTAATTACGATCTACAAAAAGAGTCCAATATTGATATACTTATCTTTGCTATATCAATATCTAATTATTTGATCCAAATGAAAATATAAAAATTTGCCCCATTACAATCATCACTAGCGCCCGACGTGAGAGAGGCTACTTGTTCTTAATTATTTAAAGTGAAAGATGCTATTCATATTGCAGAACAAGGACTGGTTTAATTATTAAGATATTAATATACATTCGAAGAAATTGAGAGTGGAAGCCTTTCTTTTAATATTTTGTGGTCATAACTATAGGTTTACTAACTTGTATAATATCGGGGTAGATTCTTTTTGTTTTATTTTCAAATGTTTTCTTATATGCCACATTTTGTGGGATTTTTGTAATCATTTTCAAATGTTTGTTTGTGTAGTTAATCAACCATATTACGTAGAATATCTAAGATATTAAATTGTATAGAAAGAAGTCAGGTGTAGAAGCTTTTTTTTTTTTTTATATATATTGTCATCGCAACACGTAAGTCATAACCATAAGTTCATTAGCGTTATTAATACTTGTATAGTATTGGGGTCGATTCTTTTTGTTCCATTTTCAAATGTTTGTTCGTGTAGTTACTCGCCAAATTTTGTGGGATACTGTGTTATTTTATCCATTTTTTTTTTTTTACATAATTAGAGCGTTTTTCAAGATATACTCTAACTACATGATGATTTCTATTTTAGAAAGTCAACACCTAAAAATAAATATCAAAAAACACTTTCAATGTTTTAAAATAGAAATTCACTCCGTATTCTTATTTTATAATTATTTCATTTAAAAAATATAGATTTCGATAATCCACTTCTTAAATTATCACAATCATATTTGAATTGATCGATTATTGACATATAGAAAATAAATATTAAATAACAGATCAGGAGAAATCAATAAGTGCGTATGTGAAAGTGATTTTTTTATGTGAATAGAAAATAGAAAAAAATATGGATAATGTGAAAAATGATTTATTTAGAATGTGCAAATAAAGTGAGTATCGTGGAAAAATTATTTGACAATAATCACTTTCAAATAGGGGCTAAATTTATTGAAAAATGCAAATGAATAGTCAAAATAGAAAGTATTGTTGAGGTTAGGAAAAAAAACTACTTTCTAAATTTATAGACGATCTCTATTACACATCACATACTCATTAATCATTATAAATAGAAAATCTCTTGAAAATGATCTTTCAAATTTCATCTCCATATAAGTAATTTTTGAAATGAGAAAATCAATAAGAAATTATCCTTTCTTATATATGTATTGTAACTACAAGAATAAGTTACAGTTAAAATTGTGTTGAAATACTTATTTATTTATTTAAAATGAGAAATTAAATACAACTCTTTTCAGCGTAGAAGCATCATCTTCCAAATTTTTAATGATCCAATTTATCTTGGTTTTATTAGCTCTAGATTGAAATTGATTTTTTAGAAATATATTTTTCACTCATTGTCAATCACATATTCTTTAATAAAAAATAGTTACATTTTTCATAATTTGTCTTTATTTTTAACCACATTTTCTCTAACACACCAATTTTCACTAAATCAATTTCATACAACGGCCTATTATTGTTTTTCTAAATGATCAAAATGAAACAATTATATTTGTGCTTGCAATAATAGCCACTTGGATTTGATTTTAAGCTTATTGTTTCTAACATTTTCAATTGTTATTCAAGCGAAAAATAAACCAGTATAATTATGTTTTAAAAAAAGTAAGACTATTGAGAGGGGAAAATACACAACTACAAGACTATAAGAATCACGTTTCATAACCAATAATATTATAAAATACTTTCACAAATTAGGTGACAATTCCAATATATTATTGTATAATAACATATATAATTATAAGATAATATCCTCACTGCTGCATTATTACCCCCCCCCCCCCCCCCAAATTACAAAGATATTTTCTGCCACAACATTCTCTCCAATTACTAACTCTCTCTATAAACACACACACACACACACAAACACCAAATTACAAAGATATTTTCTGCCACAACATTCTCTCCAATTACTAACTCTCTCTACACACACACACACACACACACACACATGTACCATATTGATCCCTCAATATGAAGAGGTGATGGTGCATTAGACTATACCCACTTGGTGGTGGTGAGGTAGCACCTGTATTTAGGGAATGTATCTGCGTGGTGGCGGTGACGGTGCATTATAGGTGATGATTGTTCATTATAGTTGATTTGTGTGGTGGTGGTGAAGTGGTAGCAATGTTTTGAATATTGCATGGAGGTCATGACCAAGTTAGCCTTCATTGTGATTGTTCGTGATAGTATATGGCCAAGTTACTTTTAATTTGGTCACATAAAGTCAAAACTGATTACAATTAACACAAACTTGGTCACAATTAATATAGACCTAGTCACAACCGTTCACAATTAACAAAGGCTTGGTTACAGAGGTTTATCACAAATAAATTCGCACACATTATAGACCAACACTCCCAACTTTTGAGATTTTTTTAGGGTAAAGTTCTATATGGTGTTGATTGAAATCAAAATTTTAATCTCAATCAAAATTAACAATTAATTTTAATAACATATTTCATAGAATTTTTAACTTTTTAACTTTTATCAAAATTTACTAAAAATATTAATTTAATCACCATCAAACAGGAGAAAAATCACAATAAAATTGAATTTTTTCCTATTCTCTTGCTCTATTTTACTCTCTCCCTCACGCCTTTTACCTTCAATTTTTTTTTAAAAAATTTGTCATTATTTCTCTACAAATTTTCACTTTCCAATCAAATTTTCAATTAACTAGAATCTAAATTTGCATTTTATCTTATCCTATTTATGTATATAGAATAGATTTGAACTAATGATATCTAATTTAGTTCATATTTAACGAATTGTGTTTATTTGATTGATTATTAGTATTGAATAATGGTTATATATTTTTCCTTTCGACTGCTTGAATTGATTGTTTGTACCAAATGCGCTATAAATTTTTTAAACGTAAATATACATTTTTTTGTAATGAGCAAACTTTAAATAAAATAATTGTTTGAAATCATATGGATGAAAATCTTGAGCAAAATATTAATGAAGAAATATTTTTTAAATGTAAATTTGTATTTTTTCGAGTCAAATATGAATCATTCAAAAATCAAGAATAAAGTACTCAATTTGTACAGAGTTTGATTGTGTCCCGTAACTCAAAATGACTGCGTCTGCACCTTAACCAGCTGCAACACAATCCACCACCTCAACCTCCTCCAATAATCACCGACCACATCAATGACATTACCAACAAATTGTTAAGAAGTTGAAGAATTATAGAGAGAGAATATGCATAGAAAGAAATGACAGAGAGAGTTTTCATTTGTAAATGTTGAGAGAGAATTTCATTTGTAAATATCGAAGAACGTGTGTATCGAAGTGAAAGAAAAATGTGACAACGACGGTACTTGAAGATAAAATGAGCGGGAGTGATTGTTATGAAAATAATGTTTAACGGTACTCATTAGATAAATATAAACATCTCCATATTAATTAAATATTAATTAATTTAATAAATCTTCATTATCACCAGAATTGTGAAATTAAAATCAATCTTCATTATTTTTGAATAGTATATTTTACATGTAGGGTTTTAGATAAATTTTCCTTATTAAAATTCAAAATCCAATCTATAGTGAAAGTCCCATTTATGATTGGCATCCAAAGGGCTTGAAAAGGACCGTGCTAGGAGTTGCTGTAGTGTATGTTTTGGTGATGGATTATTTTATCACTTAGTTTGACGTTATTTTGATCGAGAGTTCTTTTGTGAATCAAAAAAATGTTTAACTGTTTTTAGAAAAATATTGCAATTTTTTTTTTTAAATCAGCAATGATTCTATAGCCATTTTTATTTAAATAAATGGCACTCATAAAAAAAATTAAACGATTTTAAAGATATTACCATAATGTAACCACAACCAAGTCATTCCACAATGCCACTTGCCTAGTCTTTACCAACTATCAAACTCCCGAAAATATTTTTAATTTATCAACCAAATATTGAAAAATTACAAAATGAATTTTGATTCTATTATCAAATTTTATTTTATTTTTTTAAAAAAATTTTAAAAAATCAATTCCTTTGTCTTCAGCAACCAATATCACTTTAATTTGTGGAATCTAATCGACCTATCACACATATTTGCTAACCTTAAAAATAACTTTAGAACTTTTTTAAGTTATTTTTTAAGTTAAATTTTTATTTTCACAAAGTTTCGAACAGGTAATTACTATTTCGAAAAGTATGCAATGGCTGCTGATATTTTCATTGTTTAATATTTTCAAATCACAACTACTTAACAATAGAAATAACAATGAATCATAAAATCACATTCAAATAATTTATTCATACATAAATAAGCATAATACTTCAGTGTGTAATCAAAATGCTGTATTTTAACCTTGTGAAAACTGTAATGAGTACACACAGGGCTGAGTGCTGATCTTTCTATTTCTCGTATTTCCGCACATTTTCTAGCTTTTCTGGAATCATTTCGAGTCTATGGCAACCACTAATGATTACTTCTTTGAGTTTTGGCATTCCTTCTTCATCTGCTATAACCTTCTCCAACTCCCACAAGCGTCGAAATTGCAGCAGTTCGAGCTGAAGAAAACTGTATGCTCCTGAACAATCCATCTTTGTGCCTTTGTAGGAATCAGATCCAAGTTTCAGGATTTTGAGCTTGGGTAATTTCTTCAGTACTTCCATTGGATCCTCCTCAAGAAATGTTAGTTCAATTGTTAGCTTGATGAGGTTAGGTGGAAATTCATCAGCATTAGGCAGCTTCTTCATCCAATAACCTATACGCAACCTAACAAGATTTTGATATCGTGATAGATCCAATCTTACAGTTTGATCGTCCCCAAAAATTGATGACCGTAGCCTCAGGTTCTCGAGTTTTGCTGATATCGGCTCTGCATGGGATAGTTCTTCAATGATTCCTCGTGGAGAATATTTTACTTCCAATTTCCTTAAATTTCGGAATTTGCGCAGCCAGATCCGATTCAATTGCTCCCCTTTAATCCCAACTAGAGTTTGGAGATAAGGTAAAGAAACTTCCAACCGGTGATTTAGTTTTGCCGTTTTAGACCTAAATCCCCAATTGAAAGATGAAAATCGGATATCACATAGGAGAAGGTGTCTCAACTCTTTTATTTTCCAGATACACATAGGAAGGTCTACAAACAGACATTCTTGAATATCAAAGGTCTGCAACTTTCTAAGTTTGCATATAGCGCAAGGCACTTTGGCAAAACTAACGTTTAGGCGGAAGCAAGTCAACTGGCTCAGATTTCCAATTTCATTTGGAAGGCGCAAATAGAGGAAGTGTGATTCTAGACTCAGCACTCCTAATATTCTGAAGTCTGAAAGAAAACTTTTCAGATGTTTCCGCGGGATTTTCTCATTTTTGTTGGAAGAGAAAAAAAATGCACGAAGTTTAGGTGTCTTGAGATTTAAAGCAAAGTACTCGTTATTACTGTGGTGGCGAGCGACAAGTCTGCGCGCTCTCATAGCAGAACTCGAATTCAGATGATCAAGAGTGTAAAAAAAGTTGTTTTCTTTAGCCAGGTTAATGCAAAGGCTGCGCAAAAGATCATGGATTCTACAACTTCTTACCCTTCCATCAAATCTTCTACTAACAACTTGAATTAAGTTTCTAGCAACCAGTTTCTTGACATACTCCTCTCCCACATCCTCGGGCTCTAGATCGCCTATACCTTGCAGGAACTTCTCAGCTGTCCACATATGTATCAGCTGGGTTGCTCGAATTTCATGGTCCTCAGGGTAAAGTCCTAAGTAAAGAAAGCAGGGTTTTAGCACAGTCGGTAAATCCTTGTAACTCAAGGCTAGGATTTTCAAACATTTATCCTGATCATCTTGGCCTATGTTCTTAAGTACCGATTTCCATTCAATGTCACTCGTCTCTCTCTCCCGCAACATTCCTACTGTGACTACAATGGCTAGTGGCATGCCACCACATCTTTCTATTATCTGTTTACCAATGTCTTCCAGTCCTTTTGTCAAAGAGGACGCTATCAATTTGGTGAAAAGTTCCCAACTATTTTCGAAGTCTAAGGGTTCTAACACATGCAAAGAACTTTCACTACCAACGTACCTTCCAACACCTGAATTTCGAGAAGTAATAATTATTCTACTACCATTCTGAGAATGAGTAGGTATGCCAAGTCTTAAAGTATCCCAAGATTCAATATGCCAGATATCATCGAAGAAAATCACAAACCTTTTTTCCTGTAGAAATGCAAACAAATTGGCTTCCAAGTTCTCCTCCTGCTTTTCCTTCTCCAAACCGACTTGTTTTGCCACATTTTTCAAAATATCTATGATACTTGGCTCTTCAGAAACACAAACCAAAGCCGAACATTCAAAGTTCTCTTTTACACCGTTAAAGATTTTCTTTGCAAGAGTGGTCTTCCCTAAACCTGGCAGACCCACAATCGAGATGAAACAGCACTCCAAATTTGTGCTTAACAGCCTTGCCTTTAGTTCTTCCACTTGTCTGTCAAAACCGACGATGATGGGTTCATTAACATGAAGAGAGGCACCTCTGCGATCCAACTGAAACCTGTTGAAGCTGCTACCATTAGTATCCTTAATGCCATATGTTCTTCGGGTGCGATCAATTTCATTAACTCGTTGCTTGATATTCTCAATCTCCACAGCAAAACTACGGCAAGTACGGACATAACATAAAGTGCCGGCGGCCTTTCTGATTAAGCTGCTTGATCTGTGTGATTCTATTTGGGGAAGAAACGTGTACAAAATGTCCTCCACATCGCTAGCAAGGTCTTCGATGTCCTTCATCAAATTTGCTACACCACGGCTTTCAGATTTCCTGGCCTCTGCATCTTCCAGGTAAGATTGAATATTTCTCAATTCTCTTACAATCCAATTGATGTTTTCTTGCAACTGATTTAATCGAGAGCCTTGCTTGTCAAGCAAGGCGGCAGATATATCTACAACCTTGCTGATAACACTTGTGATTGCAATTTCTGCCATCTCTGAATTTCCCTTTAGACCTGAGAAACAGTAACTAATTTCTTAGGTGTAGAGTGAAAACTGGATTTCGCAATGCACTCTCATCAGATAATCACTAATCGATCAATCTTCTTTGATCAAGACGGGTGGTTGAAGTTACATTTCTTCAGATTAGAAATTTTATCTAAACAGAACACCCTATAAATCTCCGTCAACAAATGTAATTTTTATTTTTTGGTTGTAAAACTAACAGGTCCGGTTCAAGTCTAATCTAGAGGCCGGCCTTTGGGGTTTGGCTTTGTTTAAAAGCTAAGAGCAGCTTCTTTATGTGTTAAAGATGCTATTCCGTTTTTAAGCAAAGATAAGCATGTTCTGGTGCCAAGAACCCAAGTGTTATGATCATCTTACTAAAAATAACTGTGAAATTAATTGGGATTGACCTTCTATTTTTTTATTTTTTTTTAATTATAATTGAAGTTATAAGAAAACAAAAATAGGGAGCCCTTCTTACTAAACTATCCACTTTTTTAAAAAAAAAAAACAATTATATTATATTTTTAGGGCTCGTTTGGCTCTTTTAAAATTTTAAATTGTTTGCTATAGTATTATTTTCTACCACACATTCACACAATAAAATATTTTATACACAAATCAATAAAGTCACTTTATTTTTTAACCAGACATTTTTCACAAAATAGTATTCAAAACTCTTTAAATTTTCTAAATAATGGGTAACAAACGGGGGCTTAATTTTTTATAAATTCATTTAAATAGACAAAAATAAAATTAAATAATTATAGGAAAAATTTCATAAGTAAGAATTTAAATATCACACATTTCAAAATAAAGAAAACAAGTTTCAAACTTAAAAAATCAGATTTTCATTAAAATTTATTTACGATTTAATTAATTAATTTATTAATTAAATATATTTAGGTCACAAATCTATACAATTTGGTCATAAAATAACGATTTAGTTAGTTACTTATTATTTTTTGTTACAAATTAAAAATTTTATGTCTCAAATTATTTTATGGTTACAATTCAAAAATTTTGTAGATCACAGTTTGTTCATTGGTCACAAATCAAAAAAAGTTATAAATCACAAATCACAAATATTATAAGTCACAATTTATTATACAGTCACAAATTATTAAATTATCGATCACAGATTATTCATCTATCACAAAATCAAAACTTTTATTAGTCACAACTCGTTTTTCCACTACAAATTATTAGATTAATTGGCAAAATTAATTTTTAGATTATAAATTAATCAATTGTGAGCCGGGATTCATGGTGAAAATTTCCGTAGAATATAATTTGGTTGCAGATCTATACAATTTGGCTACAAATCAAAAATTTTATATCACAAATTATTTTACGATCACAATTCAAAAATTTTATAGGTCACAATTTGTTCATCGATCACAAATCAAAAAAAAATTAATAAATTAATATTTATTAACTTTTTATTGGTCACAACACATTTATTCACTGCAAATTATTAGATTAATTGATCACAATTAATTTCTCGATCACTAATTAATCAACTGTGAGTCAGGATTCATGGTGAAAATTGTCTTAGAATATAATTATTAACACGTGTGGTGTCGGGATTCGTCATGAGGCTAAATGAAGCAAATTAACAGACAACTAACATGCAACGACGTAGGAAAATCAAAGAATTCAATTCACAGAATAAAATCCAAAACACAAAGGATCCAATGACACAATAAATCAAACAAAGACAACTGCAATTATATAAATAAATTATATAATAAAAACACAAACGAACCTCACAAATGCCTTTGACAAGATAAGGAAAGAAGAATCCAGAAGAACATATGAGAAATTGTTGCCAAATTGGTCTATTAGTAAACGAAATCCCAAACTGAGACCTTGCTTGATCTCCCTTCTTCCTTTCTGAAGCACCCAGTTGAAATCAAAACCGAAAATTTATACCAAAAGAAATTGCATGGCCTTGCTTTATAGAATTTTTATTTTATTTTTTTGATAGAAGCAAAAATAATGGAAGGGAGGGAAAGAATATTTTGAATTCACAAGAAAGGTATCGGAATTACGAAACTTCTTTCTCTGTATCAGAAAGGTATCAGAATTAATAAACTTCCCAATCACAATCTCTCTACTTCTTTCTCTGTCTCTGAGGGATGGATGAAAACGTGTGTGTGTGGGTTTCTGTGACGAATTGAGGGAGAGAGGGATGGTGACAGAGAAGACAATTGAATTTTATAGATATATGTATAAAGCAAGCAAATGGTAGCTGTTAATTAGGTCACTTAGAGATTAGTACAATATAATTAGCAAAATAATTTTAGATCATCCCACTGTTGGAATAATTCTAATGTGGGCTTCTTATTTGATTGTTTATTTTACGAGTTTGATGTATGACTCATATTGATATTTGTGATTCGGCCAAATTTATTAAGTGATCAATTGGACCTTTTACACTTTACGTGCTATATTTTATATAATATGGTAATTTTAAGTATATTGGCCGGAAATATATGTAAAACTTAATTAGAGTTTAAGTCGTAATGGGATGACTTGATAATTTCCTAAATAAAGGCTAAGTATCTCCATATTGTTTTATTGCCATTGATGGCCAAAATGGAATTTTTTATTTTTTTTTTAATAGAAGCAAAAATAATGGAAGGGAGAAAAAGAATATTTTGAATTCACAAGAAAGGTATCAAAATTATGAAACTTCTTTCTCTTTATTAGGAAGGTATCAGAATTAATAAACTTCTCAATTACATTTCCTCTACTTTTTTCTCTGTATCTTGAAAATGTGAGTCAATTAGACTGGACAAAATAGACCTCTATCCATGTCAAATCAATTGGATAGAGATACCCAACTAGATTTGAGTCTGAGTCCAATCGTTTATAAATGATCAGAAAATACTAGAAGCACTTGTCTTGCTGTTGTCGAATTAGAGATGGCAATGAAGCGGGACGCAGATTTTGCCCCATTTC